CTAAAGGATGTTTTTTGAAGCCACTATGGGAAGGTGACGTGGTACGTCTGAGGGACAAAGGACAGTGGGTCACAAAGGGCCAAGTGTTAAGGAACGTGGCGCCTCGTTCTTCATTGGTTGTCACGCAGGATGGCCGGGAATATCGACGCAACAGAGAACACCTGCGACCAACGAATGAAGACCTGCAGAGTTCCGATCACTTTGAGGAGCACCTGGAAGATTCCCCAGCCTGTGCCCTGACCAGCATTCAAGCTACACTGGCTGCATTGACCCCAACAGTGCAGCATGATGATCCAGCCATCCCAACCACAGTTGCTACTTCAACGAGAACTCCGACCAACTCCCCAGCTGCAGTCAACTCCACAGCGAGAACAGAGGATGATCTGGCTAGTGAACTTAGACCATGTGTTGCTCGGACGTCAACCCGAACTGTGCGGCGACCCCAAAGGCTAAACTACGATCAGAACTTCCAGCAGCAAGCTTAACGGGCCTTTGAGTTACTGCTTTTTATATTTCGTGTTTTGTGTATTTTGTTTATTTTCGTATGTATTTCTTGTTGGTTTTTTATAGTCCAAAGAAAGGGAGATGTAACAGTCTTGATACTAGCGCCACCGCCACACTGAGTGAGAGACGACAATAAAGACGAAGCACTTGCCCCCTACCCGCTGAACCGGATGCCTCGCTGACCGATACACACACAGTTGCGAAAAGGCGTTTGCATCAAACGGATAGAAATGCTTTAGAAATGATAGTATGAAGATGCACATTCCCTAATTTTATAAAAATACACAGTCGCGTGTCTGTAAGGAACCTGGATACAGCGAATTACTGTCCACATCGAATGGCAAAATATTCCGAACGAAAATGCATATTAGAGAACAACCTAGTGGTTATCGAACTCTGAAACAAAAAACGGCCCTCGGAAATGCGCGAACACCTGTCCTTTTCACCCCCAAAAAAAAAGAAGATAAAAAAAGTCTTTTGAAGCACAAGTTGAAAACAAAAAAAAGCAGTCCAGCACTACAAAGGCAAGGTCGAGGCATGCGGTGCAGTCGGGAGTGTTCCTCGACGGCGTTTTTATGCAGCCCATGCATGCTTCTGTTCTGCACTTGGGAGATCCTAGCATGCGATAGAATCTGTTTGGTCAAAAATCATTTTACCACAAAAGTGTGCATTTTCCTCCTTGCCAAGCGCCGCCAAGCAAACCTCTTTTGCAGACCTGCGCATGAGCGTGGTGTCCTTCATTTTGCTTTTTTTACTGCTGCTTAACATGGACACTATTTTTCTTTCTATTTGGTTCCACATTTCGAATCTCATCAAGCAGCAACGTGAGGTATTTACCATTTTCGGACAAAGTCAAAATAATTAATTGAGAAGAGCGTGGCAAAAAGAAGTCAGACGTCGCCAGGGCTTCCGGAATCGCCGGAAGCGCGCCGAGCGTCAATAGCAACTTTCTTGGCGCAGCCACTACGAGGGTGCTGTGATCGCCGGTGCAACCTAGAATCTATGTTGGAGAAGTGGTCCACCTCATACCGTGGGGACCGTTTGCAATTTAATAACGGACGCCTCTAGCGGAGATTGGTCGCGAGTGCGCAAGCACTGCGTTGTTGCATGTCGAGGAAAGCGAGCGGAAAGCCAGAAATTGTTTGCAAACGATCCCCAATTCATGCTTTTGCCGTCTCCTCGCAGCTCGTATTGTAAATGTGGCCCGTAAACCACATGACCACAAATCGAGCAGTTGAAAATTCTGTAATCTAGACTCTCGGCTGACCCGCGACCTCTTTACAAAAAGTGGTTTCTACCAGCTTCGGCATGAATCCTGTTCTTGTTAGAGTTTAATAAGCATGCAAGCGCACAGATGAGCGACGAGAGGGCTTTATATAGATTTTGTCATCAAGGGAGGAAAATCTCCTGCAAGAACATGCCTGCCATACTGCCTGCCCTAAATCAAAAGCGCTGGTGCTTAGGGCTCACTCGTAGGGTGAGTAATTTCTATCTACTTCGCGCGAGTCTAGATGCTTCAATCCAGCAGACGTCGCGGCAGAAGAAACAATCCATTGAAGTATTTACACAAAAAAGTTTACTGCACATTTAAAGTCAATGCGTTGTATTTCGAAATCCCAGGATTCAAATTCACTATATGCGAGTTCTGATAAAATAAACTAAGTTATTTAAAACATCAAACTAATATGCGCATCAGAAAAAGTTAGTTATAAATGTGTTCAACTGTACATTGATAGACATTAGCTGTTCACATTGAAAACAGCGGCTAGGCGGCACGAGCCACCACCCAATTCAAAAAGTTCAGTCACACTCTTATCCGCCCATCCATACAACAAGATATGAATACATGAAATGCAATGTGCCCTTCAAGTAAGAAAAAAAAAAAAAATACACCAGCATAACATGTGCCCAAATTTAATTTGTCATTGCCTCCCATAGCAAAAGTAACGAAGTTTGTCCAAGTTCCAGCGGGATTAGGCTTAACCTGATTTCCCAAAAACTGGAAACAAAAGACAATGCCGGCGGTGAAGATAGAAGAAAAAGAAAAGTTGTGCGTCGTAAGAAAAGCGACAAAACATAAAAATTCTAACGGGTTTCTCGCCGCTGTTGAGCTTGCAAAGCAAGGCCAACACGTTACGCCATAATCCAGTAAGCCTTTCTATGCCGGAGATGTGGGAATACTAAAGTGCAGACAAATCCCATTATAAAAGACAATTATTTCTTTTCGACACAAAAGCTGGTTGTCTGGGGCAAAGTCTCCCACATACTGCCGCCTTTTTCGTCAAGCTTTGTAGCTCATCTATTATTTCAGTGTATTGAACAGCCCAAATCGCCATTCGTTTGTATAAGCTTTATATGCTTCCCAGCGAAACCTCATTCCTTTTTGCCGACTTCTGTTTTCTGGGTCCTTTTGTAGAAACATGGTTTATCCATCGGTATGCGATAGGCCCCCTCGCTAAGGCCCGCTTCTGACGTGGCAATTTCTCCAAGCGTCTTGACATGCACCTTCTGCAACACAGTCCTCCCGCGTCAGCACGCAGCAACTGCTGAAGCTCAAATTGCTATATTTTGCAATCATTATCATTAAAATCATAATTTTCTGGCACAATTTAGACACAGGGTTATACATTAATAATATATTCTTTATATTCTTAAATGTCACTACAGATATTAAAAGACAGCCCTGAAACAATTTAGTCACAAAGACTATCCATTTGAAACTAGAATCAAGTTAAACCCTATGTTCAATGGTTGTCATCCCCACCACAGGGGGTCACGTAAAAATATTCAGTCCCCGATTGGCTGCTTTAAACGTCACCGAATCGTTGGAGTGGCTCACCCGTTTCGAGCCGGCGGATTTGATTCCAACAATTTGTGTTGCAGTGTGAACTACGAAACAGCACTCTAACAATTCCAGAACTGCTAGAAAAATTGCCCCATTTGAAGCAGGCCTGGCAGTGACTTCCCACGGAGTAAACGTTCACCTAGTACCGTTTGCAGACTTGGCAAGAAGATGCCGCCATGAACCTTTGTAACGCTTTAATATTCCCGAACAATGAGACAACTGCACGTGTCGAAAGGAGTTGCAATTGACGCATGATGGTCACCAATGAAATGTCCTTCTCATGTTTGCGAATGGGGTTAGCTCAATGTCTGCCTAGTTAGATTGTGGTTAAAAACCAGCTAGCAAAAATCTTTTTTAACAGAAATCTTCCTTTCTACAGTAGACTTGCATTAATTCAAACTCCAGGAAGTCACAAATTTTGTTTGAATTATCAGAAATTCATCTAAATATGATACAAAGTATAATTATAAATTTCCATATGAATTTCTACACATACAAAGCAGATATTTGATGATTTCCTCTACATAGGTCTACTGAGATTAGGAAAACGTGTGCTACACACAAAACATTTGTGAAATGTATGATATAAATTTATTTATCTCTCAAAAATGTTGTTTATCGTGGTATTTTTGGACAGCACACAACAACTTAAAACAAAATTAATTCATCAGGCCAAGAAGTTGTCTAATGTGGACTATTAAGCGGGGGACAAATGAACTATAAAAGCGGACACCGAGCAGCAGTTTTCATAGCAACTTGCGCGGATGCTGTGACATGGATCTATACCATGCCGCCACGTCACAGCGCCCCCGCAAGTTGCTATGAAAATTTCTGCGTAGTGCCCGTTTAAATAGCTCATGTGAGCCCCGCTTGATCCCCGTCGAGTGCACTTGTCATTGAGCACCGGTGCGACGCGGAGAAGCAGCATCCACAGAAGCAAGCTCCGCAAGTGTTGCCTATTTGCAGTGCACTGGCGCTCGGAAACAAGCGCACTCAACGGGGCCGTGATAACAAAAAGTATGAATGAGACGAAAACGCCGTTTGAACAAAGCGGCTTATGAACACGTTAGAAACATAGTGGAACAACCAAAATTTTAAAATCTGTTTGAGTTAACCAGAAGTATGAAATATCTGAGTTTGAATTAACGCGAGCCTACTGTATGTTAGCGCCCATTAAGGACCTGTTAACACCTACAGTGCAGTGCTACCTCAGTGCTTTCGAATCCCGGCCGGGGTGCTCACAATCTGACGGAGGTTTATTGCGAAAAAGCAAGCTTTCGGTTGCACGCCAAAAAATCCCCAGGTGGTTGAAATTAATCCTCAGTCCACTGCTGGGGCGTGCCAGATGCCCGTCCTTGGTTTGGCACGTAAAACCCCCAAGTTAAAATTTTTATCTCAGTGCTGAATTAACAAAGGAAACAGCACTGATGCAGCACACTGCCCCGAATATACCTTAGCACTGACTCAGCACTGTGCACTGATCGTGCACAAAGCGCTGCACAGCCCCAACTAAAAGAGCTGAGGTAGCACTGCACTGTATGCGTGAAGAGGTATTAACCAAAGGGGGAAGGAGCATCTTTTGCACTAATCCACGAGCTCAAAAACAATGTTAGAGGGCACTTTTCCAACACGTGTGTTCTTTCCAACTCACGTGAGCACCTTCTCCTTGGGAGCATTTGTGAAGAAGAGGCCGCACTGCCCCCGCAGGCGCTCGCTCACTCGGTGCAGGTTTTCTCGGTGGTCCTCGTCAATGCACCTCCCCAGCGCCACCGCCATCACCTTGTTCTTGCCAAAGTAGAACCTGCAGGAACGTCGGCAGCAAGCACGCCGATAACTAAGTAACTAGCTGTGGTAAAAGCACTGACACTAGCATACCATTCAACGACTGCTACGGGAATGCACAACTAAAGCCAGAGTATGGGTGAGTTGGTTTGAGACAGACATAGTAAGCCAGGAACAAGGGAAATAAAGGGCAGCTTCGTGTTGCCCATCTCCCTTTTTCATACTGCTGCCAGTTCACTATGTCTGTCCTTTACCATTACCACTGACTTTCTTTCACCATACTCCAAAGAGAAGTGCTGGCATACTCAACCCCGGTTGAATCTCAGTCGAGTCGCCCGCAATCCGATGGAGATTAATTGTGGAGAATGCGCCACGCGACCGAGATTTCGGTTGCACGCTCAAACGTCCCCAGGCGGTTGAAATTTCTCCTCAGTCCTTTGCTAGGGCATGGCAAATGCCCTTTGTTGGTTTGGTATGTAAAATCCTCAAGTTCGAAGTGATTCTTGAACCCCCTACAACTGCACAAGTTTCCCTTTTACTTCGTCTTTTGCAGAGGCGATACTAGTTTATTCAAACTTGAAGGGACCACTCCATTTTGTTTTGATTAGCCAGAAAACAGGAAACAGATTTAGTCATGGATGAAGAAAGAATAAACAATTAAAACAGGGACAACACAACCACATCTTTCAACTAGCAACATACGAGTAAACTTTCAACAGCGAGCAGCCGACTATACCCAGTAGGAGTGGGGGAGAGAAGGGGAGAGAAGGAAAGATAAAATTCAACCTCAGTTTTCGTCAGCTGACGAAAACTGAGGTTGAATTTTTAAAATCTGAGATAACCCTACCACCCTGACTTGCACTTCGCGTGTTTTATCTTTCCTTCTCTCCCCTTCTCTCCCCCACTCCTACTGGGTATGGTCGGCTGCTCGCTGTTGAAAGTTTACTCGTATGTTGCTAGTTGAAAGATGTGGTTGTGTTGTCCCTGTTTTAATTGTTTATTCTTTCTTCATCCATGACTTAAACCAACACGCTCTTCTACCAAGCAGATTTAGTCAAGTGAGCTCTGTAAAGAAACACGGGCACAAGTGTGCAGCTAAAAAAAGTGTGCTTAGTTACTAAGGTGACCACCCGTCCCGCAACTCGCGGGACCGTCCTGCACTGAGTGCTCATGTCCTGCGTCCCGCAAGATCTACCGAAATCTTCAAACTGTCGCGCATTTTGCACTGTCATTAAATTTCCAATTTAACTCGTGGCGCTGCCGAACGACGGGGCACAGAGATCAGTGGTAATCATGTGAATTGAGATGGTACGCCATTTTCTATCCAAGCATTGCGGTAAGCGACCGTTATTCTCGCAGGAGAACTGACGGGCGTGCGTCATTGTGCCTGTCCTTTTAGTGGAGAAATATAGCGAGAGCATTGCTCACCAAAAGTTGAATAAGAAATTACTGTAATTATCTTCAAATCAAATCAATGCAAAAAAATTGCCATGGAAATAAATTTTTTTTTTTTTTTAGTGAAGATGGTGAAAACATGGGAAAAAGCCTGCAACTCACGACGTTCGATAGACAAAAAAAAATAGGGTTTCAAATTTGTGCAGGAGCATGTTGGTAAAAGTAAGCATCAACAGGAAATAATAGGCCCAAAAAGATTTGCTGTTTCTTCTTTCCTGTTATTGCACTGAGTTCTGCTGCAGTGAATTTTTATGTTTTCAACATGTCTAATAACATATTTGGTATTAAAATATCTATGTAGATATATATCACTGGGTGCGAGTTGTTTTAGCTTGATTGTTGCACTACAGTTTGCAGGTGTTATAATAGGTTCTCGGACAACACAGGATAATAACTGTGTCAGCAGAGCCACATTTCGTGGTGTGCGTGTTAATACCCCCCCCCTCCCCCCTCCCTCCCTCCCTCCCCTCCCCCCCCCCCCCGCCCCCCCCCCGCCCCCCCCCCGCCCCCCCCCCCGCCCCCCCCCCCCCCCCCCGGGTCAGCATGTCTCACATTTCACTAGCAGGGAGGGGGTCACCCTATTATTCACAAGTCCTAATCCTGTCACAGAGCTGCAAATACCTTTGGACTGTGGCTTCTTGTTCAGCAAAGGGAATGAAAAATAGAGCCCTAAGGTTATGTGTGTAGCAACGATGAGAGCGGCTATCTTAGCGATCCAGATTCTTTGATAAACGGATAGTATCTCGGCTGATTATCACTTATTCACAGTGCCGCCAATGTTGTTCTTTTCAGGAGTAAGGCCGGTTCCCATAGCTTCAAAAGCCGACCCAAAGTTCGAGAGCATCAATTGTCAAATTTATGGGTATGATTTCTGTGATTTTCAAATGGACTAAATTAAAAACCAGCCATGAAAATGTTCAGAATTCCACTCAAGGTACCCGAGATTCAGAGAACCAACCAAGAGGAAGAACAAATAGACAAGTCTCAATAGTTTTCCGAGCCTTACCATAAAATACCAAGCAGGCATCAATGTTGCAATGTTGCTGAAACATTCGAAATACAAGCAAAGGACATATCAAGTGGCCACCCCAGCAAATGTCCAAGCCCACCGAGCTAACAGAGATACTCCTCCTTGACACACGTTTCTCCAAACAAGCCTGCGCAAAACGGTGAAGCTTTCCGCACGCACGCCGGTGCCAAGCGGTGAAACTTGATGTGAGAGGGCCGACACGTTTGGGCTTGGATGGATGGACGGATGGTAATGGCTATACCCTTTGTAACGGGCGGCAGCTTGCGATAACCTAACCTAACATTTCGTTATATCTTCTTTCTTCAAATATGTATAAATTTTGTTTAAATACAACCCCCCCCCCCCCCCCCCCCTTAAAGTGTTTCCACTGCTTATTTTTATCTGTATTTTTACCCCTCCCTAGATCTTTTCCACCAATCTTCCAATCTCCTCTAGGTTACCGCAATTCTTTCCCCATCCATTCATCCATCCATGTCTGCAAATCCGTAGTCATCACCCCAAGAGGGTGGGTTGAAGCCTTGTGCACCTTAAAATTACATGTTCTATACACCAACTCATGTTTACAAACAAACAGGAGCGCCCCTAGCGGACGCCACCGGCGCCGTGCATGCGCGATGGGAGTGTGGGCAAGAAGCTGGCCGTTGCCCATAAACAAACCATTGAAATGCGACCAGGGGCGGATTTAGAGGGGGGGTCTGGATGTCCTGACCCCCCTCTTGATTTTTGCATGTGTAAAATTTAGGGCGTGAAACGAGGAAGAGGGGGAGGGGGTTCCTAAACATATGGTACGCTGACCAACACCTGACCCCCCCCCCTCAAGAAATTCCTGCATCCGCCCCTGAATGCGACTTTGTCGGCGTCATTGTGAGTCCCCCTGCCCTTTTTCGTGTTCGAATTGTTGATTCTAAGTCTTTCTGGCTATGTCTGACTATCTTGAGCGGTGTAAGCGAAATTACCGAGGCTCGTTACACCGCAAAACTTTGCGTGAATAATGTGACATGTGGCGATTCATTCCGCGTGGACGCCGCACTATGTACGCTAAAGCCTGATTCGCATCATGAGATTTCGCTCGCAATTTTCAGTCGCGACGCCGCTCGACTCTGCAAAAGCGTGAACTTTAGCTGACATGGTCGACGTCGATACTGAAAATCGCAAGCAGAATCGGACCAAGTGAATTAGGCATAACAAGTCGGTGATGGTCACTGGTGACAATGATCAACATCTCCTTGTATCTAGCGTTTACATCGAGCCTGCTTACTAACCTTCAAATTTAAGTCTTTTGAGGCCTGCACTTACTTCTTATCGCAAGTACCGGACCAACATTTGGTCTACAGGTCGGCGTCGCCTAAGAGAGCAGACGACAAGCAGAAACGTTTGAAAGAGCAGACGAAAGTTCAAACGATGAGGGGGCCGTTTGAACTTGAAGACGCATTGAACATAGTCCGCAGGTGGTCCGCACAACTTGACGGCTTTCTGGTGTTCATGATGGAACAAAACAAATAAATCTGATGACCACAAGTATCCGTGAATTCAACCCAAAGTGCTTCCCGCCCAAGCAATCGTTGTCCAACGGCGTCTGCTTTTCCCTTTTTACGGCACACATCCAGATTCTCGGACGAACCGCGCACGTGAAAACTGACCTTCAAACCTTTCTCGACACTTTTGGTATGGCCCCAGTCGCGGCGTTTTGACGAGAAGGCAGGATTTTGTCTGGTTCCTTTCAAAACAACGCAGAAATGCATGTCCGGCCTGGGGACTACTGCCCACAGCCCCAGACCGGAAGTGCGACCGACGCGCCACCACCGCGCCGTGACGTCAGAGAGTTGGGTTCGTGTATAGTTTCCCTTTCACGGTTGTATATGTCACATATAGTTAGGGTTCAGAGTTTTCAGTTTAAACCGATAAAAACCGATTAAAGTATGCCGAATGCATTTTTGGGAATTCAGTTTTAACCGAAAAAGGTAAGTTTTTAAGTTTTGCGTTTTCAGTTTAAACCGATAAAAACCGATAAAAGTAAGCCGAACCTATCCTCTAAAATTCTGTTTTAACCGAAAATGGTCAGTTTTTTAGGGTTGTGTCGAGATGGGCTGGGAGAGGGTGGGAGAGGGGGAGGGGAGAGAGGGCATTGCAAGGTTCAACATTGTGTGACCACTTCGTGATTGCCCTCTTCCAAGGTTAAAGATGCAACAAAAGAGGTATTGGGTGGTTCTCTGGAGGACATCTGTGTCCTTAGTGTGTCAAGTTCCTGGTCCTAAAAAAAAAAGTTTGGGTGTGGGCTAGTATAAGGTTTTTAGCTTCATGCAAGATCTGCAGCCAGAGTTTAGTGAGTACATGAAATATGTTGTGCTTCAAAATGCCGCAACGTGTCTCTTTTGGTAGTCACATTTGGTTAATTGGTTGATTTTGGATCAGGCAGCGCTTCATCTCCTCAGCCTGCCAGTGTCCAATGTTTACGTTGAGAGGGCATTCTCGAAGCCCAGGGTCATTAACAGTAAAGAATGAGCGTGGATCAATGAGGAGAACCTGGGAAAGTATGTATGTGTTTACTACAATAAGATCACGTAATCCTGACGTACAGAAGGTGAAAGTTCCATGTTTTTTAAACACTAACTTGTTTGTATTTTTTTTTTTTTTTTAGTTACACACAGTTGCCAATTGAAGTGTCAATGATTTTTTTTTTTTTTTTCAATGTATTTGTGCCGTTATTTCTTGAGGGATCACAAATATCAGAGTTACAAGCATCATCTGATCCGGAGCCCGATGGTGTTCTTTTCATACATTCACCGAAAAAAGAAAAAAAAAGGTAAACTTTTGTGGGCATAAATATACACCCCTTAAAAAAAAACCCATGAAAATTGAATCTTAAAATAAACACAGAAAAAAGTATGCCGAATTTCGAAAAAATAAAAACCGAAAACGTGGAACCCTACATATAGTGTCTATTTCCTGGAATTCAGCCCTATATATATTTTCGTTCTTAACTCCCGTTCTAGATTCAAAAAGCAATAAGATCCCCAATGAATTATCACCCGACTGTTCCTTCTTTATTTCTTGTTTTCGTGCCCTGTCTATTTATTGTTAAAGCTGATTTCCCCTGCATCCTCTCTTCCCACAATTTCCTCTCAGTTTTCTTTATTCCCTTTTTTTACTAATATGCTCTGATCGGCCCTATCTTGGTAAGGGCAGTGCAGTGTTGCCAACTCAAAGACCCCTCTCTAGAAATACCGAAAACCGCTAAAAACCAGCAAATCTTTGAGGTGCACACAATTGATTGCTGTAATTAGTCTAAAGACCAGTATAAGAAATAAGAGAACAATTAGAAGAGAGCTACGTTTTTCGACATAGATCGCTTCCACGCAGAATACAATGTCCACTGTGTGATCTTACTGTTCACAAGTGTCACCTTGTTGTCTGCCATGCCTGCCGACGAATGCCTCAGTCGTTCCGATCTTTAGTGGAATATTTTCTGGCAGTTCAAAGCTTCTGAGACCAAAATTCACTTGCTTTGGAAAAAGTATATGTCACAGTTTATGTCACTCGTCTAAAGTTGCTTGGATCTTCCAGACCCATGTTTTTGTATTCTTGCGCATAGTTAACTGGAAAACTTGATACATTCACGCACAAATCAGTTGAAGGCACGTTTCGAGGTTTGCCGCCACTGTGATATCTCAATGGCGTCGCAAACATTAATCTTACCGACAAACATTTGGCTCCAGCAAGTAAAAACGACGACCACACAACTTTAACTTACCAGAGAAATTAAGTTATTTATGATTCATAAATCTAAATATGAGAACATTTAAAACAACCAGAAAAAAAATATGCTAACATGGCATGAAAACCGCTAAAAATCCCGCTGCCCACAAAACAACCGTTTCTCTCGCTAGAAGGCTCAGAAGACCGCTAAATTAGCAACACTGGCAGTGCGGCTGCTTTAAAAATGAGGGATTCTGCCAAGCTACAACACTGTTCATAAAGTCACTGAATGTTCCTATACCGTCTCAATCGCACCTTCAGGTTTTCCGCCCCCAGTTCCTACGAGCATTCATCCCCATTTTTTCGTAATTATCTCCAACTTCGGGGTGAATGCTTGCTCGGTATGTTTCCGGTAGGTATCTGCATGAATGTTTACGAGCTTGTTTGCATTATTACGTCAACTTCAAAATTCCAATTCGCTTGAGTTAGCCAAAAGCATTGTCCGTCTTGGCTTAAAATGACAAGTTTGCTGTGGGAGCATTACAGGAACCAAAGTAAGACGGGGGACTTTTCAATGTAAGAACTTTGATACAAACAAAATTTGTCTTCTCCTCCTACGATTAAATTCAGTCTGCTTGTCACCAAAATCGGGAATGAATGTGCCAACTGACTGCCTTGGCACATTCCAGGTGCTCCCAACAAAACATATCTGCCACCTGCCGATCACTAACATTTAGCACAAACCCAATGAAAGTCCTCGCACCGCCATTAGCCCAGCCCGCAAGTCCTAACAATGATGATGCCACTCTAGAGGCCACTTGCCACACACTCCGACAGGAAACTGAACAGATCTGCGCGCGGTATTAACATAAAGTAGGAGCGGAAGTAGCCGACCGGTATTCAGCTTTCATGATGTCGCGTCTGCACGAGTCACCATGTGGCGACCAGCCTGGGCAAAGCAGAGTATACCGCAATGATGTTTGGGCAGGACATCTATTGACGACGGTGGAAATCACGAGTTAAGCTGCAACAAGGTAGAAGCCTGGGCCAAGTGATACATGCTTTATGCAAAGAAAAAAAAAAGGAAGAGGTTTCAATCACTCACCGGCTGTCTTTCCACTCCTGTCGTACGTCCTTGAGCTTGGTGTTTCTCATGTTGGAGACCGAGTACACAAACACTTTGTCATACTTGTCGAAGGCATCGCGCACCTGAAACAAAGGACAGTTTAGTGGTGTGCACTTTGGAGGTCATGCCGTCATTAATGCTTCAAGAGCGCGTGGCCACAGTCAGCGACGGGATTAGAACGACAGGGAGTCCTTTAGCTGTCCCTCCTCGAGCACGTTCTTCCTACTTCAATTGCATCTTGGCGCCTCGCAAGTTTCGAGCGTGCACGCCCAACTAAAGCCCCGTAGGGCAACAAGTGTGTGTGCCGGACGCCAGGCGTCTAAAGGAGAAACCCGGCCATTCCCACCTTGTCAGTGACTCAGCAAGAAAACATTGCACCATCTTCACACCGTTTTCCTCATACGGCTAGCTCTTTACTGCAACCTGTTTACTCTTATAATGCCGCAAACCCCTGAACGAATGCCGCCCCACGGTGAAAGATGTCGGGCGGGTGGTCATTAAGAGTGCAAAAGCAAAGTCGAACCAAAACCCGGCAACAGAAAGGCAAGTACTTGCTACGGTCGCGCTTGACACGGGATCCGATGCCAGAAATCGAGGTGGCGGCAAATTCGTGTTCGGTGAGCGGTAAGCATGCGGGAACGTGCTACAAACTCGCATCTCGCGGGAACCGACATGGCGGATCACGACAAAGGCTGACCCGAGTTCTAAGGTGCAGGAAGCTCGCGGGAACCTGCCATAAAATCTCGCACACAAAGGGAACCCATACCGCAGACTACACCCACGGCAAACTCTGGTTTCACGGCGCCACAAACACGCGAGAACCCGTCGCAAACTCGCTCGCCACGCAAAGTAGCAGATCACGGACGTGGCGAACTTGAGTACTGGGGTGCTTTTTCTCGGAAGCACACTGTGGCTTGTGCAACCTATGCCCACCGACAAAGCAAGAACGGCAGGGCATGTCTTTCAAATGCCCAGCCTCCAGCACCTTCCCTTTCGCCGTGCTTTGGCTGTGCATGCACGCTCGAGAGGCATGAAACGCCGTATAAGTGACTAAAGGCAACAGTGGTGGTGGCAGGAAAAGGCATGCCCGCAGCATGCGTTTTGGCCGAATGGCACGAGCTGCGGCCCTACGGAGCCATTGACACATACTCCCTCTTATATGTAAAAAAAAAATTTTATTTTACAATTATTAGCTAATGTTACGGTACAAGATATATGTGGGCGTGGACACCGCGTGCGTCGAAGCTGCCAGATAAAGCCCTCTCCTCGCCTTGGTCGCAAGCGGTGCCACCAAATGGCCCCACAATGTGCGGCTAATGACGGCCTGTCAATGGCTCCCGTGCTTCTCTATGGGAGACACACTTGTTTTTTAAAGTCGTTTTCTGGGTGTGCCGCGTCACGAGGAACTTGGAACTTGCACCACGCACGTTGCTTAGACGTTGCTTCATCACTGACGCCATAGTTTCCTGCCTCAACGGTGGCAATGATAACATTTTTTGTGAACGCATTTAAAGGGGTAGGGAAACAAAATTTCAGCGATCATTTTCTAGCTTTAATGTGTTGCCTGTTGCACCCCAACCTCAAAAACACCAGTCTTCCGTTGAAAAGCACGAGAAAACTAATTTTAAAGCTACATAAACAATCTTCAATGTGCACCTGGTGGATGCATGCGGAGCCTATTTGGGAGGTAGTCTAGCAACGTTGTGGAATCTGCTACGTAGTCGTGACGTAGCAGATTCCTTCGGAGCTGCGCCGCTCTTTGGCATTTTAACGTTTTCCTTCTTAGCTTTCCTCCTGAACTCACAAATCGCGCATTGTACCAAACAGTCCAAGAAGACGGAAAGGAAGGACTCCCTTTTTTCTCAGACCCTCGTTCGTGCAACCGGAAACAGCCATTCTCCCCCTAGAAGATTAGCCCGTCGCTCAAAACTCAAACAAAAGTTGCTTTCCCCACCTCGTTCAGCACTAAGCTGACAGTGTTGTGGAAGCTACGTGCTTGTTGGGCCAGCCACACGCTCGTCACCCCACGGGTACTTTGAACGGCTCGGTTGTAACGCGTTGACGCTATTGACACCACCGCAACGCTGACAACGCCACCAAGGGCAAAGCTCATAATCACGCCAGCCTTGCTACGTCACGAACGCGGGGTATCTTTTCTTTCTGTTTTTGTTTGCGCCGGATATCCCAAGACGCATGGCGCTCTCCGTTCGCTTCTCTTCGAGCGCTTGCTCGAGTGCACCGTTTGGAACGAAAAATATAGCCAATCGTTCAAAATACAAACGCGTGATTATCATTTACGGTTATTATCCGTCATGCTTGACTCATTTACGAACGAAATCTGAATATTTAAATTTTTGTTTCCGAACCCCTTTAAAGGGCAACTCCGCTTCTTTTCCAGTTGTGCAAAACTATACAGTTCTCTTTGTTATCATCTACAAAACCCCCATGGCAAATATTACGACGGAATTCCGCCTAGAAGTTCATTAAAATCGCTGTCAAAGTTTGACAAGCACGAATCCGCTGGTTTTGGATGAGACGTGCGGGCCAGACAACACTGCCCGGCTGCATTTCCGCTTCCTCCAAATTCCTTCTCCCGGCACGTCCGCGACGTCATCAAGCATGTACAGCTTTTTTGTTTTCAATTTTGTTTTCTTTCCGGGGGCGGGTGGCGCCAGCACCGTGAAAGACGTGAGAGACGCGCTCGGCCGGCCCGGCGCTCGACTATTGATACTACTGATAAGCCGATCGCCTCGTTGAACGCGGCTTGTGTTACATTGCATACTTTTGAACACCAAGTAAAAGGAGGAGAGGGAAGCTGCTTTTGTAAGAATTTTGAGTGACAGGTTAACCTTCTATAATCTTTTGAGAGGAGAATAGCGACGCGTGTGCTAATCCAGGAGGCACAAAGGAGGATCCTGATAAGAGGGGAGCTCCTTCTTCGCCTTGTATATCACGTGGGTGTACATGCTTAGTGATGCCGAACATACAATGTTGTCCGGCTTTGCCACCGTTTCGGTTTCGGTTTGTGATCATGGCTAGAGTAAAATTACACGAAAAATATTTTATTTTTTGCGAAACAAAGGATTGGGGATTGTTTTTGAGTGCTTCAAAAAGCAAAATCGGCCACTATCTCAAAATTTTTGAAATTAAGCGGAGTTGCCCTTTAAGTGGAGAGGTCTCTGGCACGGTGTTCAAGCCAGAGCGGCAAAGACTCTTTTCTGGTTTTGTTCTTTCCCTTATTCTTCCGTTGCACCCTCTGGACGGCGGAGACGCGATCAGCTGAGGCTACTTGGGCGCACGCCAAGAGGAATTTTTCTGGTCGATCGCGTCGCGGCGTTCACTGTGCTGTATCTATCTATATGTGGCTTGCATTGACGTCGCGTCGGCTGCCATTGCTCTGTACCATGCTCCTGTGCCCGTACCCTCCGCAGCGTACTCTTCGCACCACAGAATTTGTTGTCGGCCCGAAAACAAATTCCATGGAGCAAAATGCATGCTGCAGAAGGAACAGGCACAGGAGCATGGTATGGAGCAATGGCGGCTGGTATGGTGCCATATAACGTCACGTGTGAGGCCTGTATATATATCTTATGCTGTGCCCGTTATTAGACCAATAACCCTGTCAGACAGGCACCTAAAAGGGCCTTTATGCCAAAGGACCTTTAGTGTAGAGGTCCTTCTCGTGAGCCGGAGTTCCCGCAACTCCTTTACAGCTGCTAAAGGCGTACTCTCGTCAGCAGCGGTCTAGACTACAGAAGCGAATTGAAGTGAAAGATCTTACTGTTATCTAAAATCAATGTTTTTTGTTTTTTTTTGTTATTGAAAAAGAGTGTGTTTTACCTAACGTCTGGACAGACCTCGGCCTACTAATAGTTTTCTGTACTCACGGCCCCGGCTATCTAGTAGGCCTCGTCGTCCCGCTCCTCGCCTGCTCGCATCGTCCGCTTCGGTTTTCCTCCTCTCTATTTTCCTTACAACCATAGTTATCTGGCTTTTATTTCTCTACATTATATTTTATCATCCTTTAATCGTGTATTGCTAACTGTACTGTATATATATAATATTTTTTTGTGCATATATATTTCTGTATCTTACTCTCGCGTTGTGGAATACGTCGAACGACGGAGGAGCGTCCACAACTAGGAAGGGGTCGCCGCGCTTCCATTGGAGCGTTGAGGCGACCCGGTCGCTGACGCGGTTTGAGAGGATCAGCTGGAGGACTTCCGACGCATGCGATGAAATTCAAGCGCGAGCACGACGCCGAACTGAACAGGGCAAAAGCGTAGCAGAAGTACGGAAAGGAGCGGGAGCACTGAGCAACGTTAGGACTAAGTGAGCAGGCATAGAGTTGATATATGGGCGGGGAAACACTCAGTATTGCCGCTAATCGCAAAAAAAAAATCACTTTGCTTGGGCTTAAAGTGGATTTTGTTGTAATAACTCGACTGAACTTGTCATTAAGACAAACTTTAAGAATTATTTATATTGCCTGAATATTCTTTTTCTGACGTGAATTTGACTTACGCGTATGAACGAGCCACGAAACCTCTATAGCTATAAACATAGTCTAAACAACATTTACCTGCGCTGTCTGGCACAGCATAGCTAAAAGGTCATTTGAAAATCCCAAAGGCCTTTGGCGTAAAGGTCCTTTTAGGTGCCCGTCTGACAGAGGTATAAGCTTATAAATAAAGTATGGCGAGTATCTCTTAGGCAGTTATTTTGTTTTGAACATTTTTGCTGTAATTACTACTACTTGTGATCGCTGAAAAACTAGTTGCACTGAACTGCATCAGACCGGTTGAATGCACAGTAGAACAGAGAGAAATGCCTCTAAGATGCCCAATTTTCTAACCGTAGCACATCATTTTTTTTTTTTTTTTTTTGTTTGGTTAGTAGCAAGGTAGTTGGGAGGAATCCTCTCAGACACCCTGTTGGTGGGCGATCTCTTGGGGGGGGGGGGGGGGGGGGGCGTTTATTTGGTATTTTAAGCTCTTTCTCAGCGTAACACTGCGGTATTATTTTTAATTGTATGAGCATTGTACCAACTTTCTTCGTTAAACAAACTTACGACAACGTGACGCGCAATGAGATTAGGCAAACAACCAACAAATACTATCGTCACCTTTTGTACTAAAGCATACGTGCTAAAACACAAAACGCGTTTTTTATTGTATTTTTTTTTTTTTTTTTACTGAGAATCAGATTTTGTAAGAACTACTTCGAGTGGCGAATAAGCTGTGATCAAAACCTACGATTTCTAGGTGACAACGCCGGTTTGCATTAGTGCAGTATGATTACACTGTGCAGACACAGCGATCAAGACATGTCTACTATATATATATATATATATGAACAATTCATTCAACGATGGCACAAATACGATCACATCACACCTAGTACGCATTTCTGGAGGTGGATCGACCAAGAGTCATGACTGACGAGGCTTACCTCTTGAATCAGATTTTGCTTTCTAGGAAGACCCTTCTTTTTGGTTTGGGTTAGCGAGACTGAAATCGAGACAAAAATGCGTTAACGTGTGCGGAATCATCCAGATAAGCAAACGATTCGTAATAAATAAGGATTACCTTGGCGATTCCGTTTTGAACGCGGCATTTCTAGCAAACGTCAACACAAACCACGTGCTCGGAAAATGCGGACGCGACGGACGCGCCGTCCACGGATTGGATTCAACTGCCTCACCCAGGAAAAAAGCCTCGCGCGGTAGAATAATTTTGTGTACATTAAAATGAACATAAGTTAAAAATTAGTATGTTTAAATATTAAATAATAAATGATCAATAAATGTTTTGTGTAAAAGCAACTACAAATATTTAGTGTGCACGTATTGTTTTAAGAAAGTTTACAAGCTTTGAGATGCGTCTTCAGTCTTAAATAATTAAGATTAAAAGCAAGAAATCGCTTAAAGGAAGAAGTAAACCTCAGAGAGTGAGAATTGGAGATATTTTGCAGTGATTAGCCGGATTCGAAACCAAATTCGAGACCAAGATGGGGCGGCGTTGCTGACGGTTGCCGGGCAACCGTGACGTCATAGCCGCCGTGGCATTAGAAGAGCGACCCCGTGCCTCGTAGAAGGAATCTTCCTCGACCGCTTTACGCCTGGGGAAGTACGAAATCCTCCGCCAGTGGGTAAAGATTGCTTGGTTTCTTTAACAGTAGTGGTAGCGTAGCCCTGGTACGCCACTCGACTAACAACCCAAGGGTCCAGCTCAATCTCTTGCGGTGTTTTAGAGCCGGGCTTCGGTAAGTAGCGAGCGAGCCGTCCTGCACCGGATACTAAAACGTGCCAGGAGTCGTGAACAGTTCTAGTCCGCCATTTTGACGTGCGCCTCGGCGGCCGCCGGCCCGGATTCTGTGCCCTCACCGAAGGCTGGTGCCGCTCTGCTTGCAGCTAAAACACCCCCGAAATGGATAAAGACGAGCTGGTACAGCGGGCCAAGCTTGCGGAGCAGGCGGAAAGGTACGACGACATGGCGGCCGCCATGAAACAGGTCACAGAAACCGGAGTGGAGCTGAGCAACGAAGAACGCAACCTCCTGTCGGTCGCCTACAAAAATGTCGTCGGAGCCCGGCGGAGCTCGTGGAGGGTCATCTCGAGCATAGAGCAGAAGACCGAGGGCTCGGAGCGCAAGCAGCAGATGGCCAGGGAGTACCGGGAGAAAGTCGAGAAGGAGCTGCGGGAAATCTGCTACGACGTGCTGGTGAGTGTGCGCCCGCCGGCGGCCGTTGCCTCCTCGGCGGCCGCCGGTAGCCATTTTCACCGGGAAAGTTAGGCTTAGCGCGGGCTCGGGGGCCGCCCGTCGCCTCGGCGTCCCTACGATCTGGCCGGGGTTTTTTTAACCGGGTTTCGGGCCGCGTCGAGGGCCAAGCAGCACGCCTCGCGGGCGCCGGGTTCTTCGCCCGGACGTCGTGCGCTGGCGCCGCGCCCCGATTTTTGTGCCGGCGGTGGGGGGCTCGCCGCCGCCTCCCCGCCCTCCTCCCATGCCCATTTCGGGAGGTCGCGACTCCGGGCGTATCGGGGCAGGTGTGTGCGTCCGGTCGCGGGGACCGGGTCAGACCCGCGACGAGTCCGGGGTTCGAGGGGCCGTGACCCTCATCGGGGGCGCGGCGCGGTCGTGCGCCTTGCCTTTTTTTTTCCTCGTCTTTATCTGGAACGACGGAGCGGGCGGAATACCTCCCCCTTGCCGCTTTCCCCGCATACCGCCCGATGAGTCACCCTCAAGGCGTGACGGGGTGACGGTGTGTCTGTCGGCACGCGGCCTGGGGTACTGGGTCCCGTCACGTTCTTTCGACTCGCGCCGTCGTGAACCGTGTCAGATCTCCGGGGTCCTTGTGACAAGTTTGAGGAGGGATTCGAGACCACGTCGGCGACTGCACGGGGTCATTATCCCACGGACGACGGCGGCGTCCGTCTGCCATCGACCCAGTGGACTTTTTCCCGTCTATTCGCTTTCCCAATCATGTCGTTCCAAAAAGCTTGAATCTTTACATATCGGACTCTACGAGTTCAGTTTCGTTTAGTGCTTGAAACCCAAGGGCGTTGGCCCCATCGCCTCTTCCCTACCTGCGTGATTTCGGTCGTCTGCTAACTGGCTTTCGTCTCAACCGCGATGCGGATTCCTGCCCTTTTTTTTTTCTATTCTTCGACCGGTGTCTGTTCGTGCGGACTTCGATCCCGGGCCAGAGCAGCGTCCGACTTTCTCACGTGTGCTATTTCCGGAATTGGAAATTCCTCGCCTCGCTCCTTTCCTCCCACGCGCGCGCGCGAGAAGTGGACGGGCCGCTTAAATTTCACGCACCGTCACGTCTTTTTCCCTTCTGCCGTCACCCTTGCTCAGGGGCGTGCCCTCGTAAAAATTGTCTGCTCGTCGATTTGAATGGACAGAAAGTCGAAGTAAGGAACATGTTGGCGCCGACGTCTCACGTTTACTGGTAGATGTAGTGTCAGTTGCCGTTCGAACCTAGCGTGGGAGGCTACGAATTGTCAGCCAATGGACGATATTTATCTTAGTGGAGTACAGGGGTTATCTGGACGTTACTTTCTCGCTGTTTTGACCTCCCTTTTAGGCAGCTGTGAGGGACACCAAACACGTGGATTGTAGCTTGCAGCCAAACTGAATAATCGGAGGCAATTGTTTAGTTCAGCTTAGCGTCTCCGCTTGTTTTCTTTAGGTTTCGAGGTTGGAGTTGTTTGCTTTTCGGTTACTTTGATTTTTTGTTTAGATCGTCGGCGGATGCCCGCTTTACAGGGGATGACAGGGGTGCTGCCGTCGTCGTCATTGTAGGGGGCGGCGTGGAAGCGCCCACGTTTGGTTTGCCCACGCCGGCGCCGCTTCCGTGGGGGACCCGGGGCCTTCCGAAGGCGAGGAGCTCCCGACGCCAGCGCGCCTGCGCCCCGGTTTTTCGCAGCCCCCCCTCCAGCTTCGCCGCCGTCCCCGAAAATATCGATTTTGTTCGCCGCTTCACTCACTCACTCACTCGCTCGCATAGATCGGGAAGCTCTCTGCAGTCTTCCGACGTTTCCTTTGTTACCTCTATAAATTTAGGTTTTTCTTCCTTTCTTTTTTTTCGAACTCCCTTCCTAGCGGTTTCGACCTTACCTCCCTTTCCACCAGGCGGGTATCATTTGGTCGTTTCTACCGCTCCTGGTACCGCGCGCTCGTTACCTTTTTCTTTCTTTTTAGATGCTTTTGTGCAGTTTCTTTTGTGGGCGTGGCCCCCCTCGATGTGTAGATTCTGGCAGGTTAGGTCTGTGGCGGTGTGGCTGCTACTGTGCGGGTGGTGGTCAGTGCTTTTCTTCTGGAAGGGGCAGTGCAGGAAGCTGGGGCTGATGGATCTGGGAACCACTTTTCTGCTCAAAGACGGGGAGTGTAGGTGTAGAGGCGGAACCCTGCAATGCAGCTGCTCCTGTTTGTTGCTGGTGCCCGGTTCTCCGTGGTGGGGTGGTCTGTGCTCCAGTGTTGGGAGTGCATCATACCTGCCACTGTCGTCTGGGTTCGCACAAGTCCGGAAATTCTGAAATTGAGAAGGTTGCTTTCGAAGTTGTGTATCCCGGAATTTTTCAGAGCTCCTCGAATTCTGTAATTTTAGTAGGAGACGGGTTAAAAATGCAATAGGCACCTCGCCTTCAGTGCGAGCTTTTCTGATTTCGATATAACACTGGTGCATGCACAAGCACAGTGCAATAAAAGGTAATGAATACATCCTGGAGGTTAGAGGTGGCTACTGAAAATGATAAAACAGTTGGGCTTATTTTTTTTTTTTTTTGCATTACTAGTATTGTTTTTTTATTGAAATATTTCAAAGGAAAGTGATAGTGGCTGTTCTTTAAACTCTTTAACGTAGGAAGTGGTTCCAATTCTGCCACGTTTTGTCTTTTGCACTGCAGTCTCTTGATGTGCGTTGGTGTGCTGGAATTTGCCCAAAGAGCAGAATATTGCGGTGGAAGTAGAATTTCCAACGCTTGTGGCTCAGCCACCATAGACGCTGGGCTGTGCCTGATCTAATGGGATAAAATTGGTTGAAAGAGGGAAGCAACATTCTGACTGATTCGCAGAGGGGGTGGAGGATGCATACTTGAAAGCCTGAGATAATTGCATTTCGGGAATTGAACAGTTGGGGGTGCAACGTTGAGAAAGAGGTTAAGAAGGAAGTGTAAGCAGCTATTGCTGATTTACCTTCGTCGGATACCTAAGCTGGCAAAAAAGAAGCAACAAATGACATCACATGCATTGCCAGGAGGTGGTGAAGTATGTGAAGAAAATGACGAAGCACAAACCCAGCTGATCATTTGCAGAAGACCCCTTGAAGCCCCCATAGTTGAGCCCAACATTGGTGCATAAACTTTTAAGGAAACGAAACAAATTTGACCTCACTACTGCACAAAATTTGCTATAAAGTATCCTTGTGCCATGTGAGATCGGCTAGCTACAATGGAGGCCCTAACAAGCGTCCCCTACACCTTGCCAAGTTTTTTTAGGTGAGCTTACAGACTCCCGAGGTCTGCGTCTAAACGACGTTTCTGTAGTTATCTCGGCATACTCGGAAATAAAGCAAACACATCTTGCGGCCATTAGCAACCGTCAAATGCAGTTTCTTTTGGCACAAGGTAGAGGGTTTCATGCCCTTCCTTATACGTGCTGTCCGGAAAATGGTGCGACATTCTTTACGCAAGTGCTCGACCGTTGCTTCCTTTAAAACAGTTTGTACATGCAAATGTGCCTATACGATTACAGGGTAACTTTATGCACATTCACAATATCGAATCAGTGGAACGCAAGCAAGTGTAGACTTCACTTTGTGCAGTTCTGTGGTTCAGTACGGATAAAGATAAGTGTTCGATTTCAGCTTTTCAATGGCATGTCCAGGTTTGACCTTGCGGGCGTACGAAAAACACAGTAATTCCAAAAGGTATGTTTTGTCAACGGATGCACAAAATACTTACCAAACCTTCTTACCAGCAACGCTAATGTAATGGTGCTAGCTCTGTGCATGCATACTTAATGGTTATTATAGCGTGTTGACTCGTACACAAGCAGGGTCCTTGAGTTTCGCACTGTCAGGATTCCTGTTACTGGCTCGTCTACATACCTCGAAACTTTACGTATGGTTTGGGCTTGTGCTAAAGCTTCGAGGTTCGGCCATTCAGGTTAGTTTAGAAACCAAAAATGATGTGCTCGGTACCAGGAAGCGTAAGAGAACACCTGCTAATAGTCTACGCTTTGTGTATGATCTCTCATTGACGTATCAATCGGAACCAAAACCACGCCGTTCTCCTCCCTGGCCTACTAGTTCCCAGAGTTCAATGCATGTAGCATTGCATGCAGGGATTTCTGGAAGTAGTTTATTTGCTCTCGTATGAAACCACTCGGTTTCACTTAAGTGTGAGTGTGGCAAAAGCTTCAAGAGCGAGCCATGGGCTTTCAACGGCCCTGCCAAGCACTGTTCAGGGCCACATGCACAAAAAGTATGATGTACGATTAAGCAAAATTTATTCACATTGTGATGAAATAATGGCAGAGATAGAGTAAATTGTTCTATGCATAACCGGCAAAAAAAGATAAATGACAGCATGTGCATAAATTTTTGCAGAACAGAACAAATGGCAATGTTCAGTTTAAAATGCAAACCTTTGAATGCACTTTAACCGTATCTGATAATTCCTTGGAAGTGTCGCAAAACCTTGTAAATGTAAAGCTGTTGCAACCTGTTTCTTTGTCAGTTAGGCTTAGCGGGTTCACCACCGTGAGACAATCTCGTAAAAGCACGGAAAATGCTTTCCATGCCGAGTTTCTCCGTGACTGTCACAAGCATATGTCGTCCCGTCCGTTGTAATCCTCGCACCATCGAACGCATGAATACTTTTTAAAAATTAGATTTTCGGCGCTGTCATGCCCGCACCCTGCAGACCACTGCCATCAACACAACCATGTGACCCCCCTCCCTCCTCGTCCTCCGTTCACATACCACTCAACACCTGCGACGCTACGCACTTGGGCGGCTAGAGACGGTGACAGGGAGCCCTCAGAGAGGGAGGGGCACCCTCTGAAAGAACCAGCTGATCAGGCCACCACTCCCTTTCAACCTCCTGATCTTGCACTCCCTGAAAAGAGTGTGTGAAAGAACCATGCGAATTTGCCATGAGTGTCTAGCATTGAGTGCCTCAGCCTTTCTATAATGTCTGCAAAGATTTGTTTCCAGAATCTGGGCTTTTAACTAGATTGGAGGGGCTCTTCAGGGAGCGACTGATGTGACAGTTGTGCAAGGGAGTCGTGCTAACCTAGACTTCAACTGCTCTCCTTTCAGGGCCTCCTAGACAAGTATTTGATTCCCAAAGCAAGCAATGCAGAGAGCAAAGTGTTCTACCTGAAGATGAAGGGTGATTACTACAGGTACCTAGCAGAGGTGGCCACAGGAGAACAGAGGAACAGTACGTATGTTTCATGTTTTATCTGTTGGGCTTTTTAAATGAGGTCGTGACTCACTTTTGGGGGAAAAGGTTGCTCCGCTTCATCCTCTGGTGAACAGCAAGAACCTCAATGTCGAGTGCTGCGTAGTCACTGCCAGACCTCAAGGTCACATGACATGCTTGCAGCAGTGGGTTTGCAACCTTAGTCTGAGTGGCCTTCAAGGCTCGTTATGTCTGATGGCTCCCTGGGTCAATGCCAACCTGCAAAATAACTTTCTCGAAGCAAAAGGACCCAAATTGAAGACAGAGCCGCGACACACTCGACAGTACTTGGGGAAGTGACCTTTGGGCACCTCTTCCAAATCAAGGCGTTAAAAGAATCATTTGCATTCTGGGTTTCCATCTGGGAAGATCTTTCAAGCACATCTCTCCATGACAGGCTGTTTTACAAGGGCACTAGCTTCTTCGCTATCTCTTTAGAGAAGGCTGGCTTGTGTGGTTGAGATGCTGGTGATTCTCCCGGTTCCTCGAGGGCCTTGCTTCGGTTGTAGTGGCACCAGGAGTCCATCCCAGTGGGGCATGCGACGTGCCTTTGCTCCTCGTCAGTGGAGTATGAATGCACGAGACTGGCGCACGCTGCATGGAGAATGGGGTCACAATGGCAGGTTTGGCAAATCATAGTTCCCTCTTCGCCAGCGAGGCCAGTAAGAGAGCCTTCTTCGCCAGCGAGGTGAATAAGAGAGCGTGCAGTGGTGTTTTCTATGGGGTTTCATGTCGGTGCACACAGTGGCTTGCAAGGAGCTCTACTCCGAAAGGAGGGTAAGCACTCTTTCCAATGAGGTGCCTGTCTGTGCTAGGCCTAATGAACATGGATAAAGCGTCCTTTAAAGACTGCAAATTTATGCCACCATGGGAGTTTTTACAAGGCTTGCTCGGCCGCCAGTGCGTAGAAAATAATTTATTTTGAAGTAAATAATTTATCTACAGGAATAAAACTTTTTGACAGCATTCTTCAGGAATTATGCAAGGTGATAAAACGTTTTCAAAAAGGTGGCTTTTTGAAAAAAAATGTCACAATTTTTAGGCCGTGTAGGCAATCCATCGAGAGTGTCTCGAAATCCTACCAGAGGGTCACTGCAGGAACGCAAGCAAGATCTGTGTTTCTGGTTGCTGACTTTGGTTTCCCTCAAATGAACTTATTCAGGATAGCTAGAAAGGAAGGGAATATACAGGTGGAATCGTGGCAAATGTCTTGACCACGTTTTGGGAGAGGGGGGGGGGTTGCATTGGTGAGTTTTTGCTAGGTTTTGGTTGTGAGCAGGGGTTGTGCACTTGGGTCTGAAGGCTGACATGCGAACCACGGAGGAGGTTCTGCCGCAACGCTTGCCAGTGCTGTTTTCTGGGAGTGGGTGGGTGTTGAGGCTGTTGGTGTAATGTCCTGTACACAACTTTATTTTTGTGAGCTTGGTATTTGGGGAATCTTGTGAAGAAAGTGGGCTTGGGGAATAATATGGGGGCATATCAGTTCGTGATTGGGAGTGTTGCGCTATGTAGTTTACCTCGCAGTCATATGTTTGCATCATAAATTCTTCACAAATGTTTAAGTTAGAAAATTAAGTCTTACAGTATTTAGTGGTGCTTTCCGGTATTTTTAACTTGTAAAGGGGGTGGGTGTGGTGGGAGCTGGTTAAATTCATTAGTGCTAGACTTGTTGTCTAACAAAAATAGCATTGAAATTAGAAATATCTTCAAGGGCAGTGATGCGATTGCTGCGCCAAATTTTGAGGAAGGGCTACGTCCTGCTACATGTAGCCCAAATGTGAGGAACTTGCGCCAACATTGTGCCGAAACTTTATTAAATGGCTCTGGCCCTGCTACATGTCCAGATTGTTAGGGTAGGCTTGCGTGAATTTTCAGGGTTTTTGATTTGTCGCAAATAACATGCTATCCTACTTTATCTCTGTGTCAAACACTGACTACTCGGAATTTTCGCCTCATGTTTGTAGTCTGCTCTGGCGTGCAAGTTAAAGCTAGCTGTGTTGAGTGCGCTTCTCGCCATGCTCTTGTGTACTGCAGTGAAGTGGCAGCCGCAAAGTAAATGTGGCAATTTTGCTCTTCTTTCTTGGCTGCAGTGCATCAGAGTGCTAAAGGGAAAGCATTCCCCTAGAGCAGGACGTTAAATGCTCAAAGCACCAAGTATATCTGAAAAATGGACTTTGTGAGTGTCAATGTAACAGATCTCAGTAAAACTTTCAGAATTGACCCGACTAATGTTTATGTTGAATTTTAATGGAATAAATTATTTGGTTTACATTATATTTCGTACCTAAAATGACCACTGTCAGCAGTTGATACTGTCCTTCATAAATCAGCATCTTGTAGCTATGCCTAGTGCTTCATTGAGCAACTAAACGGCTAGTTCTGTGTTTGAGGAAATCAAACTTGCCATTGCATAGAAGTGTGAAGGCAAAGCATGCACTTTTTTTTTACTTAGATAGACCAACACACTAATCTCGACATAAAAGATTCAGAGTCGTACGAAGAAGAATGGAGTGTGTGCTTGTGCTCCAAAAGAACGTTTTGCTGCTTCATGATGGACTTTTGGCTGCTACAAAATGGTTCGGGTCAATCGCATCACTGCAGCAGGCATTCCAGATGAACAGAACAGCACACGACATGCACGAATGTTGGGCGATGCGGGATTCTGTATCGGCTCCCTGATAGGGTTCGGCGTAACTGGTGCAGTACCGTCGGGAATTCAAAATGTCTGTACCAAGCTTCTCAAGATAGGAGTGCACACAGGTTGCATTGCTTGGTCGGTTAGTAAGCTTATTCGTAACCTATAAATGATCTTGTAGCCTGCTCATGCATTCTTTGCGCTGTAAGTTGGGTCCCACAGAGGACTTGGTGAGCAATGCGCTTAACTTTGTAAACCCTATGAATAGGCCACGTTTGTCTCAAGTGAGAGGTCGGTTTATTTCCGGTCTCCAAGCTTGCATTGCAGTGGTCATTGACCCTTTCTATGTGGAAGGGACTGGAGGTCCCCTTCAGGGAGTGCAAAGAGAGTGCAGCTGGGGAGAGTGCAGAGTGTTGTGCCCCCTGCGTGCTTGTGCTTGACGTGCGTTGGCTGTGCCCCCTTCAGGTGTGGTGGAGGAGTCTCAGAAGGCCTACCAGGAGGCCTTCGACATCAGTAAGAGCAAAATGCAGCCCACGCACCCGATCCGGTTGGGCCTGGCTCTAAACTTCTCGGTGTTCTACTACGAAATACTGAACTCCCCTGACAAGGCCTGCCAACTGGCGAAGCAGGTACTGGGCCCTTCTCCTTGCTCCCTCCTAATTCTCTCTCCTCTTTCTCTCTCCGGCCAGGTGTGGTAGATGAGAGTCAGAAGGCCTACCAGGAGGCCTTTGATATCAGTAAGGGCAAAATGCAGCCCACCCACCCCATCCGCCTGGGACTGGCACTCAACTTTTCGGTGTTCTATTACGAAATTCTCACTGCGCCTGACCGGGCCTGTCATCTGGCCAAGCAGGTAAAGCCTCCGTTGCATGAAAAGAGGGCCCTGGCAACCTGTGTGACTGCGTTGGCCTGCCTTTGTCTGCGATGATGCCTTGTGGATGGAGTCCACTAACACGTCGTCGTAGGGTGTCGTGTCCACAGCAGGCGGATGGCGTGGGTGGGGCCGTGACTTGCGGTTTCTGCTGCTGCTTAGTTGCTTTTAAGGGGGTTACATTTACTTTTGGGCAACTGCAGGAGAAAGCTCTAAAGTTTTCTGGTTTTTGTGGCTTCTTTGGGCGTTTGTTGATGCATGTTTAAAAATGAACATTTGTGCAGATTGTTATGGGCATGGCAGTTTAGCTATGGTGCCTGGAACGCGTCTCCGACTGGTGTGTTTACCGCGGCCAAAAAAGTGGTCCCTTGATTTCCGCCTGATGACGTCATAAAAGTGTCATGCTGTCGCCGGTCGCGACCCTGGCGGCGTTCCAACAGTTGTGGTAAATGTGGCAGACGCCTGTTCTGCTGCAGGTCGCTTTCCACTGTGACAGTTCACGGAAGCTAGAGCAGCCGGAAGTTGGGACGCCTAAAGCGACGCCGTGACGACAGCTACACTCGCGTCATTTGTTGTCACCTTGGGACCACTTTTGATGTATGGGCGGGATTGGGCGCTAAACACGCCAGTCGAAGACTCTATCAAGGCACCATAGTTTAGCTAGACAGCAGTTGACAGTTTGCGAGGTGGTTCTAGATCTCGTAGTTTCAATGGGGAAGCGAGGGATGGGACAGCGCAAATCATTGACCTGTTCAGTAGCCGTAGCTGAAATTCGAAACTATCGCAATTTTCGTTTCAGATTTGGCCAGTCTTGGTTATTTGAAATATACAGAACCTGGGATAGCATAGGCGTCCATTGCCAATGTACAGTAGTCCGGTGCTTCATTGGCTATGCAGAGTTCAAGTTTGTTTGCTCTTGCATAGGGGTTGTGATGTCAGAACTCCAAGCTTAGGCTTAATTGGGAGCATGATGGGTAACTGCCTCAAGGTCTTGGAGGCAGTTGGCATTGAGGTCTACCCACTATCCTTCCAATTGGAACCAATTGGAGCTCAGTGTGCCTACATCATCACAGCCTTTGCACAGGAAGCAGACAAACTTAAAGTACACACTGCATCTCAAGTAACAGGCTCTGCTGTCTGGAGCAGTCCCTCAGAGTAGTGTTCTCCTGAGCCGACTGACTCTGGTGTGGCTTATTTGTTGTGAATGTCCAAAATAGTTGCATAGTATGACAGTGTTCCAAGTAATACCAGACTTCCTGTTGGCCTGGCCCAGTTAGCTGTCACGATCCTCCTGCAAGGTTTACAGTACTTTGATATTGCCTTTGGTGTGCAACGTTTGGAGTCACTAACCCTTGGTTGTGTGCTTGGTCGTTGCTATGTTTGTTCAGCATGCCATAGAGCTATCGCAAAAAAGATATTTTGCATGGCAGCGTAGAAGAGGTTTGCACAGACAAGTGGTTCTGTTCCATTTTATTTAGTAACACTAGCAGACTGCTATGTAAATTTGTCAGGGTTGCTCAATGCATCGGTGACCAGGCTGGTACCTAGCTTCGGCAGATACTTGCCATTCATCTCGCCACTTTGCAGTCAATGGGGTCTCTGTGTCAAAGGGGCAGTGCAACGATTCAAACTTTGCCCAATTGCGTACGTGAATTGATTTGTGCCACCTATGGATCGAAGAACAGAAAACTATTTCCTTGCACGCGTTAGCATGAATTTAAAAGAACGAAGCAAAATGAAGGTCAAAGCCTCAACTCTTCACGTTGTCCCCCAGAGTGACGTGCTCTGGGGGACCGCCTGGTTTCCAGTTAAGTTCTCTCTTCAGACCCGAGCCACTTCCCCCGCGATTCTCGACTTGTCAAGGGTTAGCGTCCTCGGAGGTTGCGGGGAGCGATCGGCACAAAAGACCGTTTGCCACGGGGCTGACGGCGAGTGGAGCAGTGGAGGGGGACGGGTTTGGTTGACATCTGCGTGTCTCCCAGAGACTTGTTACCGTAGTTCCTATAATTGCCGTGCGCAGCTGCTGGTCGGCAAATAATTTTTTCCTTCACGATTGTGCCGGGGAATGGCAGTTTTTCGGGGCAAGGTGACACAATTTTTTTCACTTGTGCCTATATAAACAATATAAAAAATACAAACTGCAAATACTATCAGCTTTAAAATCGTTGCACTACCCCCTTAACCAAAGAACACTGAGGGGCTGATTGAGAAGTGGGAAGACGAGCCATGGCCCAGAATTTCCTTACCTGTTAGCAACAACATATTGAAAGCTTTTTTTTTTTAAATTGGTGCATTTTTGGCATTTCATTTGTTATGAATAGTATCTTTTGTGGATTTTAGATCTCTTATGAGTTTGCATGTACACAGAGAATCCGGATTTAGGATTGGAAGTTTTCTAGCTAGGTGGACCTTTGTAGATACAATGTTAGTAAATATCTGAGCATAACTGCTTTGCCATTTTGCCCATACCATTACCAGGGACACTCTCAAATCTTGACAATTTTGTTAACTAAGGGGAGGGGGTGCATTTGAGTAAAGATCTGAGCACAGCTTGCTTGGTCGGTGTACTTTTGACTGGGAGGGGGTCTCGTGGGGAGGCAGTGGTTGTGCTTGCTTCGAAATCGTCCCGGTGCCATGCAACCTTTTGTTTTTGTGCAGGCGTTTGACGACGCCATCGCAGAGTTGGACACGTTAAACGAGGATAGTTACAAGGACAGCACGCTCATCATGCAGCTGCTCCGAGACAACCTCACGGTGAGGCCCCATTCTTGCACATAACTTTTTAAGCTTTTTCTATTTCCAGGCACGTTTACCCGAATGTTAGGGCGACTGGTGTTCGCGCTTTTAGGGAAGAGTGGAATCGTTGTTTCTGCTACTTATTTAAATGGTGTATGCCGTTTGTTCTTTTTCTACTCCTTTCCACCTTGCAATGGACTGCTGCACGTGCTGCGAACCAGTCGTGTGCTGTGAACATGTTACGTGACCATGCGCTTGCGCGTTGCTCTGCCCCTCCCGAAGGTCGTCCGACACTCGGGTGGCATCAAATTGACTGGGATGGCTTGTGGCATCCGCTGCGGTCCATTGTAAGGTGGAACGGAATGGGGGGTGACCAATTTTAGCTATCGGTGCACGAGATACGACTTGCCCTTTCGGGTATTTCTGCTGTGGTCACATTGTGCAATTTTTACCGTACTATTCATTGGGCAGTCAGGAAAACTTTCTTAATCTTGCTGAACGTATGCTGGGTGCTATATACAGGGTGTTTCAGAGAACGCAGGCCATATCGCTCCAGCGAAAACTACTCATCGCAACGAAAAAAGGATTGTGGCGTTGTGGTCCTGGGCCAGGGGCCCATTTAAGAAAATTATCAAACTGCTGCGCTGTCATCATGCGATGACAGCGCAGCAGAGGTTGGTTGCACTATCTCTCCACGGGGCGCGGTGCCGTCGGGGCAGAGATGCGCTCCATTAACAAACCGTCGAATTTGTGCACTTTTCAGAAAGCCGTAAAATGCTTCGCGTGCCTCCTATCGTTCCGCAATTTGTTGATTTAGTGGTTTCCGATGATGCTTGGCAATTCTCTAATTTAAACCATGCCCTTAAACACAATATTAAAAAAGTTATTTATGCAAAAATAACAAGTTAATTATCCGGGAGTTTGATAATTTTCTTAAATGGACCCCTGGCCCAGGACCAAAACACCACAAGCCTTTTTTCGTTGTGATCAGTAGTTTTTGCAGGAGCGATTTGGCCTGCGTTCTCTGAAACACCCTATACATATAGCATAGTTTTAGGCCTCATTTCTTCACGCCGGTGTGACCAATTCAGATTCTGTTTTACTAATATTGTTTTTGTACGCTTGGTGCTATTTATATTTATATTGTATGTTTTGGGGCCACAGTATCCTTGGTGTTCAGTTGTAATCTTCCCATCATTTGTATTTTTGTGCCCCTCCTACCACGGCCCTTTGGGCCAGGTAGTATTGATAAATAAATAAAAAAAAAATGAAATAATATGGTGGCATGTTGCGTAGCAGAGGCTACAAGAGCGAGCTCTGAGCTTTCGGTGTTCCTGTCGAGTATGTGCGTTTGGGCAGTCCAAGCATCGTTTGGGGCAACGCGTCAGTGCTTTTGGGTCAGACTTTGCTCACAGTGAAACGAGCTGTGGCGTAAACCTTGTCGTTGATAATTTCATATGGGTGCTGTTCCGTCTGTAAGCACTCTCCAGTCTCCTCCTCTAGTATGCGCCAACGGGAATGTCTCGTTGCCTCTTTGGCATAAGAGCCCTTGGCAGTCACTGTATGCTTGTCTTCGTTGAGCACAAAGCCAACTCCACCGTTCACTCTGCATCCAGTGATTGCAGTGAGCTATTGTAGATGCAAATGGACATAGTACAGTGTGCAGCTAAAACGGTTGTGACCTGGCAATACAATGGGAAAGTGAATAGAATGTGAGTCGTGAGTACCATTACTCTGAAGGGATAGTGGAGCAAATGCAGCTTGCTTTTAGCTCTGGAAATAGTGTTGCAACTGTCCACTAAACGTCCGCTGTGTATTGGGGAAAAAAAAGATTTGATTGAAGACATGGTAAGAAGGCTTGCCCTGTGCATTCTGAAGCAGCTTTTTATGAGACTGCCTCTCCTGGGGGCAATCACATCGGTATTCCGGTAAGCACGTTAAAGGGTCTGCCTTCAAGCGAGAAGGTGCGAGTGCTTTTCTTGAAAAAGCTGCCAAAATATTCTAACTGCATGTAACTATGAGCTCTTGCTTTAAAAGAGGATTCTGCTGTGTTTGGTTGTGCGCCCCTTCTATTCAGGTTTCTCGGATATAGTTGCAGACTTGACGGTATACTGCCGAATGCGTCTTGCGTACCGCGGGACTTGCAGCTACAATCAAGCTGCATTGTGGCTACTTCCTTTCTCGCATGAATGACGTGATGGGCGGCTTTTCTTTCGTTATTTTTGTTTACAAAACTGCTCATGCAAACACTGATGCAACCACCTAAAGTTCCAATGCAAAGGTATGACTGTGTAGGCAACTATGGGATGCAGAAGCAGTTTTATTTTCCAGTATGATTTTGTACTATAACTTTGTCACTATTCTGCTCTTCTGCCACCATGAACTGAGCTCAGACAATCGCTCGAGCGTGCCTCTAGTCGCCGACGAAGGGAGGATGACTAAGTCCCTTTTGGATGTCTAGACCCCAGTAAGCCCTCGTCTTTTGCCGCGCTTTTGGCCGCGCACGCACACTCAAAACTCGCAAGATGCCAAAGTGCCAAAGGGAGTATTCATTGGCGGCCATAGTGTGCGACAACTCGATGCATTCCGACGGCAAGCTTCTGCTCTTCTATACCAGTGGGCATTCCCCACCTCCATTGTCGCTCTTGGCAGCTTAAAACCGAGCTCGATTCGAGCGTACGTAGCAGACGACACACTCAAACGTGGCATCCAGTGAATACTCTCCTATCGAAGGTAGATCTCGCCAAGGGCGAGACGACTCAAACTGCCCGCCGTTTTCATTCAGTGCACGACTAGCATTTGTGTGGCGGCTTCCGTTGTCGGAGCGTGCTGACACCCCCCCCCCGTCTTCCCTGCAGCTGTGGACGTCGGACACCCAAGGGGACGGTGACGAGCAGCAGGAAGGTGGTGACAATTGATCCTCGTGTGTGCCGCCCCGACCCCCTTCCGCGTGCATTCCCATCTCTGGGCCGCTGCCGTCGGTGCCGCAACACCACCAGCAACGGCCACCACCACCCAGTCCGCTGCTGCTGCTGATGCTGGCGCCACTGCCGCTGCCACCGCCACTACTACTGCGTCGCGTGCTTTCCCTTCCCCGGACAGGACCGGTCTCCCTCCTCACTCCTCCTCCCACCCCTCACTCCCGGTCGGACCCCACCCGCGGTCGGCCCTTGCCACCGCCGCGGTTCGTGGCGGCGGCGGCGTCTTGACCGCGGTCGACGGGGTCTCGACGTCCCCTTTCGTTTCTTTGTCTGCGCCTTTCTCTCTCTCTCTATGTTGTCGTTCTTCTGTCGTGTCCCTTCCTCTCTTCTTCGGCTCGGTTGCAGACGCGGTTTTTAGCGAAAAGAGAGAGAGCGCGGGGTTTACGTTTGTGCGGTTCTTAAAGAGACTCTCTTTTTTGGCACGGACACGAGATTGGGCGGACAGAGGGGGGTGGGGTCTCGGGGTTTGCCTGTGGAGTTTCGGAAAGGGTCGTAGTAGTTCGCCAGGAAGTAGGTAAAAACTCTTCCTCCATTTTTGTTGCCTCTGGTTTTTTTTTTTTTTACTCGAGAGGGCTGTTTAAAAGAGATGGCTTTTTTTAACCTCCTCCCAGAAAGGATTTTTTTTTTTTTTTTTCAATAGCTTGTTCCTGCTTTTTGACTGTCTGGCCCGCTCTTTTTACACATTATTTTTTTCTCGACTTTTTTGTACAGTTTCGTTCTCGGTGTAATCGCTTAGGACGAGAAAGTCTGATTCTGCCACCTTTTGTCGGAAATGGAGGGGGAACTAACGGGCCACACACGCAAGATTGCACAGTCTTTACGGAACGCCTCCTCCTCGCCTGTTTCCTCTGTTGCGAATGTCGGCCTTCTCCGCCTTTTCTCGGCGCGGCGGGTTCTCCGCTGCCGCCCACTCTTCTACCCCCTCTCCCATCTGTCTGGTTTACCCTCCCGGAGTTTCTCCAGAGAGGCAAGGTGCGACCATTGTATTTATGATCCCCCAGGAGATTCCTTCCCTTGCAGTCTTCCTTTTTCCCCTTTCCCCCTCCTCCTCCAGCATCGTTATTAAAAATGCATTGTCATTTGCCAGTCTGTATTTTTCTTTTGAGTAGGACCTTTTTTGAAGGCAAGTCTGGAGAATTTGTATTTTTTTTTTTTTTTAATCTGGAAAATGTGCGCTGAAGGAAAATGGTTGTGTTCTTTTTGTGTTCCTGGCCTAGCCTGGCTTCCTTCCCTTTTTTAGTGATCTTCCTGTTTTTACGGAATGGCGATTTGTTGTGGGTTACCGAGAGACTGAGAATGTTTGCTTGCCTGCTGGCCCCTGCCTGTCTCTGTAGTCTGGTCTGGCCTGGTCTAGAATCGCCTAGATTGTTGCTTCCCCGCATTCCTCCCGTCCCACCTTGTTGACATTTTTGTTTCGCCCGGGGAAGGGAAAAAGACGACGCAGCCGTATTCAAAATTGCTTTTACAAGTTTTTCTCGTTCGCTCACTCTTATTTGGCTTTCTTGTAAGGTATCAATTAAGACTTCATTTTTTTTTTTGGTCCTTGTCCCTACCGTGCGAGATAGAGAAGTCCGAGATCGTCGCTAATTATAATTATTGCTAGGGTTCTTCTACTATGTACACGAGCGGCAAAGAAAACTGCCGGCAAAGATACACACACACCTCACAAGTGTTGTACCATTTCTTGTAAAGATGTCTGGCGGGAGAGTGTTAAATAGTTGTGGAATATTTCAGATGCCTTTTCTTTTTCTTCCTTTTGTCCCTTTTGGTCCAGTCTGTTTTTCTTTTCAATTTTTCTCCACTGGTGCATGTCTTGTGCCGTACTTTCCAAGCTCCTCCAAAGGTCTTCAAATTTTTTTTTTTTTCTTTTTCTAATTGCTGTTTTGTTGTGCTGGTGGAGCATAACGTCTCGAAGCCGGGTGACCTGTAACCAAGGTTTATTTCGGTTTTTCTTGGCGACACGCGAGAGGGGCAGTCCTTTTCGCCTAGCACTAGAGAACTATTTAAAAGGGGGGGAGAGGAAAGCGATGCTGGCTGCATGGAAGTTTTTCCACTAGCAGGGAAGGGGTCTGGAACGGTAGTGCGCCTAGACCTCGTTGATACAACTCGGCCTGCCGGAACAGTGAAATTTTCGAGTATTTGCGATCCCCGTGCCTGTTGGATCCTGATAGTGCACGCAGTCTACCTGCTAGGCTCCCTGTTCGTTTTGCTCGAGTTTTTTTCGAGTATCGCCGGGTTGCGTTGAAGATTTGACTGTTCGGCTCGTGGAAGTGCTTCTCCGAACCTCGTTTTTTTTTTTCCTCTGAAGATACTGTTAACGTCATACTCTTTTTCGTTAAAAAGAAAAGTGGATGCTCAATTGCAGTCCTTTCCTTTTCAGCAACTTGAATTAAAAGGCGGGCAAAAAAAAATTCCGAGTTGTCGATCTTGTGGCGGACTGGGCCTGAAAACTTACTTCTTTGTAACGGAAAGCCTTCTCTCTCTCGGAGGAAACAATAAATGCCCAGTGCATGTTTTTACGTGTCTTCGGAGGTTCCGGCTCCCTTCTTTTTCGAACTGGGTCTGTTCTGGGAACGTGGATGCAGCCTCCAGTTACCGAGTCTTGTGGAGCCTTGCCTGTTGCTTGGCAATAGGTGCAGTTGGTATTGATACTTTTAATCGGTCATGTACTGGTGGAGCTCTTTCATGATTATCCAAGTAAGGAGGTGCACGTTTCTTTCTGTTGGTAACTAAGTTCGAAAGTTCCGTGTGTAAGATTAGTCAGCTCCGATAAGCGACAAACTTTACACTTGCCACCACTAGGAGTTTCACTGATAATTAAAAATATTCCCCCCTCGAGTTTTGTCCTTGAAAAAGAATAGTCTACACCTTATTGTATGCACTTGTCAGGAAGAGGGCTGTATTCCAGGATATTGGTGTTGATGACTGGAAGGCCTCTGCATTGTGAATGACAGATTGTTCTCGGGCAGATGTGTTCCCGAGAAAAGCCGGGCGTCGTTTGCGGATTACTTTAATCACCGGTCCAAGTGGGAGTCGGCCAAATTGCTCCGAGGCTTGGCCAGGCGAAATGTACACAGCGCTCTTGCATTTTGATCGGGCAAGGTTTTGACGAGAAACAAATTTCACGGGTTAGTGAAAGGGGCCCTGCAATCGTATTCAAAAGTACTTTTTTTGCGGTTTCCACGTCCCTTGGGGTTCGGGTAATCCAGCGGGCACGGACAGTGTAGCTAAATATCTGCGTCGTATTTTAACAGGACGACGCTGAAACAACCTCCACCTACGGGAGCGACCCGCGGTGCGGAAAGCGCGCGATATGCAACGTCTTTGGTCCTCGGCTTACTACTGGTCGGAGCCGCCAAAAGCTTTTTAGTCGAAATGCAGAATATAAGTAGCGCGAGCCGTTTCAATTATGGATAGAAGTAGTTTTAATTCAGTATTTTAGATAAAAAAAAAAAAAAATAAAGAAATGCACTTTATAAAGTACGGAACAAGATATGACCCATCGACATACCCGCCACCAAGCGGTGGAAAAGGCTGCGCATACTACAAAGGGGTGGTGGGATCGGGCACCGGCGAGCGTAGAAAGGTCCCGGATGTAAGCTCCGAAGCCATTTGAAAAACGGCGCGTAAGAGACACGGACAAGAAGGAGAGAGACAGGACGAGGCGCTGTGTCTCTCCTTGTCCGTGTGTCTTTCGCGCTGTTTTTCAAAATGATTCTTACCAACTTTCTATTCTAGTACGTTCCGAAGCCATTCGGCTTGTGGGTTTGGCGGTATGGGGGAAGGGGGGGGGGGGGGGGGGGGGGGGGAGGAGGAGGAGAGGAGGGAGGGACAGCGGGAAGTGGCTCCCGTTCTGAATTGATCTTTACCCCGTGTTTGCTGTCGTTTTCGGCCAATGAAGTGTCATGCCTAATTAGAACATGACACGCGCAACAAATGCGATGCGAGCCCCCTGGCCGCCCGCTTCATACAGCCTATCCAAAACATGCTTTAGTGGCGCCCTCTCGAGCCGTCGACACGGAGTGCGGCAGCCGTGAGCGGTCGCTGAGCTGACTACCCCTCTTCTAGTTCACGGCCAGTCAAGCAACCAAGGACGTCATAAGGAGGTTATTTTTTGCTTGTTTGTGTAATTTTAATTTGCCTATAACTTTTAAAAGAAATCGAAATTCGAGAAAAGAAAAGTGTTCAGTGCGCTCAGGTATGGTGCAAATTAAAAACCAGTAAAAAAAAAAAGTCCCAGCATGTAAAAAAAATACAGAATTTTTTTTCTCTAAGGTTAATAAATCTTCAACTTAGAAACTCTAACCAAGCTTTTATTAAAAAGCAAAAATCCTGACGTTTCGGAACCAACTCGGTCCCTTGATCACGGGTGACTGTTTTTGTCCCGCGGAACGGGACAAAAACCAAGCTTTTTAATAAAAGCTTGGTTAGAGTTTCTAAGTTGAAGATTTATTAATCATTCCTAACCAGACGGATGTCCGTCGAAAATGTTTACATTTAATTCTCTAAGGTTTGGTTGGGACATGTGTGTAAAAAAAAAATTAATTTTACGCGAAAAAAAAAAATACAGCAATATGGACGGCGCGGGATTGATATCCTCAACGTGATGGCCAAGCCAATTCACCTCTCGTCCGCGGGACCGAAATGCTGAGAGAGAGAAGTGGAAAGGACCGCCGACTAAATCGCGTTTCGCGCCGTTAATATTGCACTATTTTTCTTTTCGTGTAATTTTTTTTTTTCGTTTTTTTTCAATCAAACAAAAAAAAAAGATTTTTTTTTTTTCTTAGGAATTTTTTTAGCGATGCTGAACCGAAATTTCGAGCTCTCAAAACAAGGCTGGAGCGTTAGGCGAGGGGACGCTGCAAAATCCAGAAACATCACTCGTACATCGATGTCTAGCGGATTGCTGTATTTTTGGATGAGTGCGCGATCCATGCAAAAGATGCTTTGTATTTCGTACCGTCCCGTTCAACGGTTCTGTCTTTTTCTTTTCTTTATTTATATGGTTCAGCATCCCTTTAAAGGGCAGCTGAAAAGAAAAAAGAAAAGTTTTTAAACAGTGAGGTGGGATACGCGCGCAACAAAATAAATTTTACCAGGAAAAAAAAATTTTTGTCCCCTCCTGTCCACTTATTTTCTCGGAGTATCAGGTGCGTGGAGGAAAGGTGAACCGGCTTGACCATCTCGCTTGGATGAAAAGACTATGACCATTCCGTGACGCCATGACCTTTGTGCGCAGAATTTAAAATAAATTCGCGCCGTCAATATCCTTCTAAAAAATTCTTTTTTTTTTTTCGCGTAAACATCATTTCTCGACACGCTTATCCCTACCAAACTTGTTAACTACCGTTGCGTCCTTCCAAATTTGAAGAGAGAATCGAGCGATTGTTTGTGGTAAGTATGTGGCTCTACGTTCATTTAAACTCCCAGACTTGTATAACGGCGATGCACCGAACACCACATGCACATCGAAGTTCCTCCAGAGCCCGGTTTTCGACGCTCTTAGGTAATAAACCTTCGTAAATTACAATCTTAAATTAGATTTTTTCTTTAATTCGCAAGACTTTATCTTTCTTCTCCCTCCTTGACAGTTTACAGAACGGGTGTATGGCGACGACGCCGTCTTGAGGACAAATGTCCAGAAAAAAACAAAAAAAAAAAAAGGATGTGTGTGTTACCGAGCTACGTTTGAACGAGATAAGGATAGATAACTGGGCGAGTTGGTGAGAGTTCATGTTGAAAAACAGCGCGACTAAGACGAGGACACAAAGAGACGAAGAGAACACAAGACAAAGCGTTGACTATAAACTGGTTTGTGTTACACACTAAGAAAAAATGACAATGAAATGAAAAACAGGGAATCAAATGTTCGCGCGCTTCCTTGGCGCCTCGTGAAATATGTCCCTTTCTTCTTTTTTCTCCGATCGTAGATTGGTTTTCTTCTTTCTTTCCTCAGGTAACCAATCTACGATCGGAGAAAAAAGAAGAAAGGGAAATATTTCACGAGGCGCCGAGCAAGCGCGCGAACATTTGACTCCATGTTTTTCATTTCGTCTCTTTGTGTCCTCGTCTTAGTCGCGCTGTTTTTCAACATGAAGTTTGAACGAGCTCGGATCTCCTAGCTGAATCCCATCATTTCGACAAGAAAGGACACGGACCACGTCTTCTTGCGTGCCGTCGCTCGCAAGCCTTGCGAAGCTTCCGCGTGTGCAGCCAGCGATGGCAAGGTTCCGTGTTGCCATCGATCTAGCCTCTCGCACATGTCTGATTTCCAAATGGTTGCCATGGCTTCGCCGGATTTAAGTGCTAGGCGGCAATAAAAAAAAACAAAAAAACACGCTATTTTTTTTTGGTGGTTTCCTCCGGCAACCAATTCCTGTAAGAACCGTACGCGCGGCATATGAACGACGAGCAAAACTCCCTTTTTTCTTGAGGTGAAAACGAGTATAGGTAACGATATCTATTGATCGTATTACTCCCGTTGCCTCATGGCAGCCATGTTGTACCAGGAACAAAGTAACGAATGCAGGTGCGGTGCAACCGCTCTCTGTTGGTCTGTGTGTCAGGCTTCTGTGGGAGGCAAACGGACGTCCTTACCTTGCAGATCACATTGCGCGGAGGCCAGTAGATCACGTTCGGGTGGGGGAAGGGATTAGGGAGTTTTCGTAGATCGTTTTCGCCGTACCGCAACGCCCTCCGCAACCCGCTACGATACACGGAACTCTACAGCCAAGGCTATCGGTGCGCAGGCGCAGTAGCTACTTCTTCGTTGCGGAGGACTTAGCGGAGGGGGAAACGCGGTCTACGAAAACTTCCTATTAGGGAGTTTTCGTAGACCGCGTTTCCCCCTCCGCTAAGCCCTCCGCAATGAAGAAGCCGCTACTTTGTAAAGGACTACTTTGGGCGCTGACCTGATATGATAAAAACAGGTAAGATAACACAATCCTGCCTATGTGCCGACATTTTTTAATTTTTTTTTTTTAAATTTGAACAGGGAGTAAGTACACTATTCGTTCCTGTTGCTCAGTATACTCGGGAATTAATCAAGCTCATGTCTAACAAGAATATCTCCGTACGACAGTTCTTGCTTTCTGACGATTTTTATAGCAGCAGTCCGATAAAATGCTTGCATTTGAATTGTGCTCTTTTCTGAAAGCGAGAATTCCGAGCTCCTAGGTTTCTTTACCTTGGCCAGTTGGTAGTTACGCCTGCTAAGGGAGAGTTTGTGCCACGACCGGTTTGTGCAACCGACGTGCGTGCTTGAGCGAAAAGCTCGCGCTTGCAGCCTGGCAGCGAATTTGTACTTCATGGCCCAAGGCTGGGAAGCAGAAATTAAAAACAAAATTAAAAACAACACAAAACGAATAAAGACAATCGGCGATATGAGATGATTATGCTGGATGCGATTTGTCGTGCTCGAGACATGGGAACAAGGGTTCGCAGCCGGTTACGCGTACCACCGTGTCGTGGGTCGCGTGTTTGCGACCCATGGGGCCGGTTTGTTGAAAACAGTCAGCTGAGGCTT